AAGATGGGCTACTGTAGGTAAGGCTGATTGCTCATTTCGTAGAAACAGGAATTCTGATTTTCTGACGTTATCAAAGGCATGTGAAATGTCCGGGAGCTCATTTCCGATGATTTCTAGAGCTCAGCTATCACAGTGAAAGCTATTAAATTTCAAGCATTTTCAGAATCATTTCGTGACCCCTTTCAAGCCGAAATATCGATTTTTCGAGCATTTTCAGAGTATGCTAGTTTAAGCTTCGAAAAAGCATTGTTCCCTACTTGTAATCCGGGCCTTCGCGGGCCCTACCATAGTTTCTTTCAGAATCAAAACTTTTTGAACCAACTCAATCAGACGTGATAGAGCTCCACGAGTACCACAAAACGGTATTATTTGGAATACTGTATCTTGTCTATGAACAGAGTTACAGATTATAAAGTGGCTTTTCTCGCAGGGCCTGCTTTTTTTTGTTCCTTTTGCTCCGTAACTCTGTTCATAGACAAGATACAGTAATCCAAATAATACCGTTTTGTAGTACTCGTCGAGTTCTCTCATATCCGATTTAGTTGGTTCAAAATGTTTTGATTCTGAAAGAAACTATGGTAGGGGGGCCCGCGAAGGCCCCCGGGAAAGGCCCGGATTACAAGTATGAATTTTTCAGTGGTTTTGACCCATTTTGAACGGAAAATCATCAAATTTCACTATTTTCCCAATTTTTGCATTTTTCAAATCCCATTTCCAAGCCCCAAATTTGTTGCATTTTTATGTTTTTTCCCGACTCATTTTTCGTCGTAAACAGCTATTATTTGAAGCAACAAATTGGTCATTTTCGAGTAGTTTTCCCCTATTTTTGACCCCTAAAATCCGGTATTTATCGTCAATTTTTTATGCATTTTTTTTTGACACCAAGAAACCTTCGATTTGAGCATTTTTCATGTTTTTCGACTTATTTTCGTCTTTAAATGACGATTCTAGGCGACAAAATAGTTCGTAGTTTTTTTGACCTAATTTTGCCCCCCCCCCCCAAAACGTCTATTTTTGACCCTGAAATTGATCTAGAAGATTGCTTCTTCATTATTACACACACACGCACAAAAATTCGAATAAGTTCAGAATAATGAATCCATGGCTCCTCGGGTGGCTTTAAAAGAGAACTGCGAGCTCCTCGACGGACTACAGTACCCCTCTTGTCTCCAGTGGAACTTCCATCCTGTGCCGACCCGGATACCGTAACCTTCTTGAGTCCCTTGAGTCCCTTTGCATTTGCCTTCGTATTGAACTTTTGCCAACTCTTCTTCTCTCCGTCTTTGATCGAATCCAGCTCTTTCTGTTTCTGTTGTTTCTTCAACATCTTCTGTCTGCGTCTCTCCTTCTCCGCTTGCCACTCCTTCTTTCCGTGTTGATTCGATGGTCCTGCCGCTGATTTTGTGTTGTCGAATGCGTAGTTTTTTCGCTGATTTTCGGGTGGCAGTTGCAGATCCGATGGGTCCACGATCGTTTTTGTGCCCGATGCTGGAAATTATTTTGGTGAGAATTGGCTCGAGAAATGACTGAAAAATAGCTAGAAAATCAGAAAATTAGTCTGAAATTGAATGAAAATCGCTTAAAAGGGCCGAAAAAGACCTAAAAAGGGCTAAATATGATGAAAATCGCCCAAAAATCAGTCAAAACCGGCTGAAAAAGGCGAAAATAGCTGAAAACAGGCCGGATAGGACTAATTTTCAGCCTTTTCGGTCATTTTACCCTAAGTTAGGTCAATTTTCAGCGATTTCTGGCTATTTTTTAGCCTATTTACCTCGATTTTCAGGGTTTTCCGGATAATTTAAACCCAATTTCAGGTCAATTTGAGGCACTTTTCAAAGCGAATTTTCGCCTTTTTCGGTCATTTTTACCCGATTTTGAGCCAATTTTCAGTCATTTTTGTCCGATTTTCAGCGCGTTTTTAGTCATTTTTACCCAATTTTATGCCAATTCCAGGTTATTAAGGAAAAATTGATGGAATTGGCTCGAAAAATGACTGAAAAATAGCCACAAAATCAGAAAATTAGTCTAAAATTGACTGAAATCGGCTAGATTCGACACGAAAATAGATCAGAAATATGCCTAAAATGGACTAAAAATAGGCTAAAAATAGGCCAAAAATGGTCTCAGCATTTTTCCATCCATTTTCGATCAATTTCAGGTTTTTCTAGGCGAATTTTCAGCATTTTCGGGCAGTTTTAACCCTATTTTTGACATTTTTAAGGATCAAATATGTCCAAAAAGAGCTTTGAAAAAAGCGAAAAATCGGCATAAAATAGGCGAAAAAGGACGAAAATAGGCTAAAAATACCTGGAAAAAGCTGAATTAGCTAAAAATAGGCCAAAAATGGTCAAATTTTTTGCCAATTTTCAGCATTTTCAATCCATTTCCGGTCGATTTCAGAACTAGGTTAAGAATGAGCCAAAAATGGTCCTTAAGTGATCAAAATTGTAAATATTTCCCAGAATTTGGGTTGGTTTAGGCCAATTTTCAGCATTTTCAGTCATTTTTTACTCCATTTTGAGACAATTTGTGGCTATTTTCAGCCATTTTAAAGTCATTTTTAGCCGATTTTCAGCAATTTTAAGCTTATTTTGAGCCCATGTTAGTCCGATAATCAGGGTTTTTTGAAGTTTTTTGAAAACGGTCAATTTTCCGTGTTTTGAGCTTATTTCAGGTCTTTTAAAGCGAATTTTCAGCTTTTTTTCAGTCGATTGTCGTCATTTTTTACTGTATTTTAAGCCAATTTTCCGTTGTTTTCAGATCATTTTAGTATGATTTTCAGTCAATTTTTAGTTATTTTTTACACTAATTTTTGGTCAATTTTAGAGATTTTAATGATAGGCTCAAAATTAGTTTAAAAATGGTTCAAAATAAGCCAAAATAGACCGAAAATAGGCTTAAAACAGGCTTAATCAAGCCTAGAAAGGAAAAAAATGTCAAATTTTTATCTTAAAATCGGCCGAAAACGCCCAATTTGGACAGCTTTAGGTTTTTTAAAAACGGTTTCGGCTTATTTGGAGTCAATTTGAGGCCGTTTCGGGCGTTTTTGAGCCACTTGTGGGGTCAATTTTAGGCAATTTTCAGTCATTTTCGGCCAGATTTCCGTGTTTTTGACTGATTTTAGAGCAATGTTTCCAGCCAATATCATATAAAAACTCACAAGTAAAAGTGATGGCCACACCGGCGGGTGTCAACGAATCGATTCTGGCGAAAACCTTTTTTCCATCCGGATGAGGAGCGATCACACGCTCGCCGACCTGGAAAATCGATTTTTTCAGAAAAAAAGTTTCAAAAAATTCAAATTTCCCGCCGAATCGCTTTCTTACCGTCCATTTATGAATGACTTGTGGTGTGACGAGTGCCTTCTCCGACGATTCGGCTCGATCCTTCTCTTGGAGATCTTCCTGAAAATTGATTTTTGAAAAAATTCGAATTTGCCGCCTAAATTGCCTACCTGCAACTCAATAATCTCGGTTAAATCGGTTTTCAACTTGTGTAGCTCCTGATTATCGGGATCACCGAGCAACGCCGCTTCGACTTGTTGTAATTGCAATTTATAGGTGGCTAGCTCCTCTTCCATGGCTTCTAAACGTTGAAAATTCGATTTTTTCGGGATTTTTTAGTGGAAAAACGAGAAAAAACGAAGAAAATTGAAGGAAAATGAATGAAAATCCGAAAAAAAACCGAAGAATAGGTGACGAGAGAGCACGACGCAGAAAAATCGCGAAACGCGCCAGCATGGCGCGTTTTGCGATTTGCGCGGGAGCTTTGAATATGGAAAAATTTGTCTGAAAAGCCTCGAAAACTAGAATTGTAAAACTAGAAAAAATCAATGAAATATGTAAATTTACCGAAAAATGTATTGATTTCAACACAGAAAAATACAAAAATACCAAAGCATAGCCAGAAAAAGTACCAGAAATGGTTTGAAAAAAAATCAAAAATCCTTTGCAAAAAGCGAGTTCTCCTCTAGCCCCAACATTTTCACAGCATTTTCCCATAGCAGATTTTGACGATCCTTTGCCGAAAACGGTTTGTACTCCTCGACAACCTTGCCAACTTCCAGCTCGCCCAATGGGAATGGATAGTCGGTGCCGAGGACGATGTGGTCCTGGAAAATAGGACTTAAATAGTCTAAAAACGATTTATTTCTCTTTAAAATAGTTGAAAACTCAAGTAAAAAAGGTTTGGGCCCATGTGGAATCGAACCCCGGTGCTGAGATTGGCAGGCAAAAGTGTAGCCACTGAGCTAGACAACGCACTGATGGGAAGGCGGGCGGAGGGCGTAGACAAAGGTGTGGTGAGGGCGCCAGCGGCGCCACCGTAGTCTAGCTTCTTTATAAATTGAAAGCGCAACTAGCCAGACAGTGTCTCTATGGTGTAGTGGATTACATTTTTGACTTTCAATCTCAACACCAAAGTTCAATTCCTCCCGTGCGGAAAACTCTTTTTGCTTCTTTATAGAACCAAAAAACCCACTTTTCCGACAGTACTGATGAGCAATTCGAGTGCTGCTGGATCATGAACCAGTGAATCCGTCCAAAGTTTCCCATCCAATTGATTTGGAGCCACTTGGCAATCCCCAGCACACAAATCTGGCCGAACATTCCATCCATGAGAAACTCGGCCACGAATAATTGGGTATGAGCCACCGCCATGGGCGAAACAAAAGCGGATATTCGGGAAAAGGACCAAAATATTGCCCATTAGAACGGAGCAAATCGCCTGAGCAGTCTCAGATGGCATTCCTACTAACCAAGGCATCCAATACTTCTGAAGACGTCCATCCCACATATGCATGTCCCATGGATGAACGAATAGGACCACTGACAACTCCTCACACACCTGAAAATGTTTTCCTGGTACCGTAACTCTTTGGATTTTGCTCTAAATTGAAAATTATATACATTTTTGAACTTGCCGCGTTAAGAGCTTCAAAATGAGTACAAACATGACTATGTTATTTTAACGTTGAAATTTTGACTTTAAAGGCGCATAGGGGTCTAAAAATTGAAAATTTGGAAAGTAGGTCATGATTATACTCATTTTGAAGCTCTAACTATGAGAAAACCAAATCTGGATACAAAATTAGAATTTAACAAGAAATAAATGCGCTACGGCGTTTCTAGTAACAGAAGCTGTCATTTTTCAGAAATTGAAACTACTGTAACTTGGCTATTTTTTCTTCAAACCTGAATTGTTTAATATTTTTGGATTCAGTGCACAAAGAGCTTCAAAATGAGCATAAACACGACTAGGCTTCACCCTTTTTGATTTTCGACCATTTTTGGATTCTCCTATGCGCCTTTAAACCCCAAATTTCAGACTTAAAGGAATATGGCCAAGATTATACTCATTTTGAAGCTCTAAACGTGGTTAGTTCAAAAATTGCAAATTTTTAGTTTCTGGAGGAAATTTCAATAGTAACAGTAATTTTAAGTTTTAGTCTGAAACTTTCAGTTCATTTTAGCATCATTCCTCCGACGTTTCTCACATTTAAAAGTCATTTTGACGTAAAAAATCGCATTCGAAAAAATTGAGAAATGCGTCAACGATAAATAATAAATGGGTCGCCGAAAAAGAAGAAGCGACCCAGAATTTTTGGAATTTTTGATGAATCGTACTTTTTTTTGCGGTCCCATATTCACTTTTTTCCCCGGAAACTTCTATTTAAAAAAAGAATTATTTACCTTATAAAGAGGCCAAAAATCCTTATGATCCAGTGATCTTTCGCCAACGTGGGACCCGATTTCAAATCCTCGCATTCCCAGGGAGTAGCATCGGCGGACTTCCTGCAAAAATTCTAGTTTTTGAGGGCTTAATTTTGATTTTTAGAATGTATATCATAAAAATTTTTAATCAGCAAGTCGGGAGCTTCAAAATAAGCCTAAACATGCCTAGTTTTGGTTGAGTTTGCCATTTTGGAAAAATGGTCCGGGTATCGTAACCTGCCAAATTGTGGTCCGATCTTGAAAAATTCTAGATTTTTGGGTTCAGCATGTTTAGAGCTTTAAAATGAGTATAATCATGACCATATTCTTTCAAGTTTGAAATTTGGGGTTTAAAGGCGCATAGGAGACTCCAAAAATGGTCGAAAATCAAAAAGGGTGAAGTCTAGTCGTGTGTATACTCATTTTAAAGCTCTTTGTGCACTGAATCCAAAAATATTAAACAATTCAGGTTGGAAGAAAAAATAGCCAAGTTACAGTAGTTTCAATTTCTGAAAAATGACAGCTTCTGTTACTAGAAACGCCGCAGCACATTTATTTCTTGTTAAATTCTAATTTTGTATCCAGATTTGGTTTTCTCATAGTTAGAGCTTCAAAATGAGTATAATCATGACCTACTTTCCAAATTTTCAATTTTTAGACCCCTATGCGCCTTTGAAGTCAAAATTTCAACGTTAAAATAACATAGTCATGTTTGTACTCATTTTACAGCTCGTAACGCGGCAAATTCAAAAATGCAAGAAATTTGGAGTTTGGAGCAAAATCTAGAGAGATACGGTACCCTGAACATCAAACTATAAAATTTTGGACAAGCTTGGCATAAATGCATGTATTTTGGAATTTAGAACCGGATAAACTATAACTTATGTTTTTTTTGGCTCTTCCCACATTGAGCTTTTGAGAAAATACTTTGGTCCATTTCGAAAATTGGAAAAAAAATTTTTTTCGAAAAAAAGTTTACTTTTACTTTTGGAAATCCAATCCAATGGGATGGATTTCAAAACCTAAAATTATGGGATAAACAAAAAGATGGATTGCTTTATACTCAAAAATTTCGAAAAATTGCATCTTTTCGAGTATTGCAAATTTTTTTGAAAATCTGAAAAATTGAAACTACAGTAACTCAAATAATTGTTGTTCGATTTTGAAAATTGTTGCATTTTTGAATTTAAAACAAATAGAGCTTTGAAATGAGTATAAACATGCCTATGTTCCTTTAAAATTGAAATTTCGAGTTTAAAGGCCCATAGGGGGGTCCGCAATATGAAATTCGATGAAAGTAGGTCTTGTTTATACTCATTTTGAAGCGCTTTCTAAAACAAATAAAATGGTACTTGTTTCACAAATTTTGAAGCACAATGAAACGAGTTACGGTAGTTTTTGACTTTTCGAGGTAGGACCCAAAAATGAAAATTTAAAAAAAAAAGGGCTTGTTTATACTCATTTTGAAGCTCTCAACAAGACAAATTCAACAAAATTAATATTTCTCAATTTCAGACAAGATTTCAAAAGTTATGGTCCATTTTATCAATTTTAGCACTTAAATTTTTTCAAAAACTTGTAACTTTGTCGGTTTTCAACATTTTTGAGTTTTCTAAAATGGAAAATATGTGAAACAGTTTTAAAAATTAGGGAAATACTGAAAATTCCAAGTAACAGAATTCATAATAAGGCAAATGCTCTCAAATGCAAAAATACCAATTTTCTTGATTATTAAGCTAAAAAACACGGAGTTTTTGGATTTTTTTTTTGGATTTATAGGATTTTCAGGGTTTTTTCTAAAGTTTCAAAGATTATTCAAATTCAAATTTTTTCCAAAAAGTTGTACTACCCCTCCAATTGCTTCTCCCACACCGTTCAAATTCAATAAATTCTTCCCCGGGCTCGCCCCATTTTTTTTTCTTCCAAATAAAAAAAAAACTTTGCTCTTCTTTTTTTCCCATTTTATTTCCTCCCATTCGTCTCCCTTCGGGAGCCCTCCTTACCAATAAAAAAAGAAAAGTGCTCCAAAAATTTTTTTTCGTTTTTCTCAAAAAATTTTCTCCCCAATCTTCCACCTCCTTCTTCTTCTCCTTATTTTCCATATGCATATTCAAAACCAATCATTATGATGAATTCATGGGAAAATAGAGTCTTCCGGAATAACAAAATGTTTTTCTAGAAATTTCCATGGAAACCATCGGAAAACCAAGCTTTTGGCTTCTAAAGAAGAAATCTATTATTCAACTTTCATACATCTTTAAAACTAGAGGTTTTTCAAAAAAAAGTGTCAATAGAGCATGTTTGCATAGTTGATAAGGCGTGCAAAAAACCGAAAAAAGACAATGGCACTCGGTGGGAGTCGAACCTAGGGGTGTCGGAACGCAAGTCAAAAGCGTAGACCAGTAGGCTACAGCGCACATTGAAGGAGTGAGCGCGGAAAGTAGCAATGAGAGTGGGGGGGTCTGTGTGTCGGCATATGCTGTTACATATGCGCTGTGTGATGTAGTGGGCTACGCCTTTGCTCTTGGTTCAGAAGGTCAGGGGTTCGATTCCTAGGGAGGCTCATTTTGCTTTTTAATTATTTTGAAATTTTTTAAAGCTTTAGAAGGTTGATCTAGAGTTACAGAAGTTTAAAAAGTTCACAATTTCTAGGAAAAATTGTCTCATAATGTTCTTGAAGGGCTGATTCTTTAAAAACCCTTTTTTTCTAGATTAAATGAAAAAGCTTTTGGAGATTTTAAATTTTTTGGAAAATTAAAATTCCCAATTTTCGGTTTTCGGTTTTCCCTATTTTCCTCTTTCTCCCAGTCTAGCTCTAAAAAAAGAAAAAAAATAATAATTCCCCTCCTTCGGAGTCGAACCCGGGTAGCTAGATTCCTAGCCGTCCCTTCCACCCACTTCGCCATGGCTCCCTAGCAACGACCTCCCTCTCTCTCCCTCCCTCTCTCTGCTTCTCCCTCCTTTATCACCGACCTCCACCTATCTGCCCACCGTGTGCCGCATGGCCGAGTGGCTTGCGCTTTTGCCCACCACTCCACACCTCCGGGTTCAAACCCGCGGTGGTCCTATTACGTTCAAATCCTTTTTTGCTTCTTTTGCCAACCGGGGCGTGGCCTCCCTAGTGTCCCGCCCTTTCTCTATACAACTCGGGGGGGGGGGGGGGGGTGTCTTCAACCAACTCATCTTTCACCAATTCTTCTTCTTCCCCCTCCGTTTTTGCCTCTTCGTTTTAAAGGAAAAAGAGCCGTACGACTACTAAGAAGACGTGCTGGATGGGGGATGAGACAGACGGGTGGGGGGGGACGTCTTGGAAATATTTAAAGAGCGAGAGAGTGCCAGACACATTGACGGACATACGAAGAAGAAGAGGAAGATGTCGTCTTCTTCTTCTTCTTTTTTCCTCAAGAAAAGGAGTCAAAAGGCTAGTTGTAAGAAGAGAAAAAAAAGTGGGCGGAGCCTATTTTGGTGTGTATGTGCTCTGCTTTTCTTCGTCCTCGTCTTCTTCTTCTTCTTCTTCTTGTTCTCCTCATATTTTTGCCCGAAATTTTTTTTTTGAAAATTCTCAAAAAAAATTTTTTTTTCAGAAAAGAAAAACTTCAGGTGGTTTTTGGGGCGGAGATTTCGGATGCACTGTAATCAATGCACTATCTGCAATTTCTCTCCCTCGCCGTCCTACTGCTTATGTGTAACGCCAGGTAGGTCTTGACTTGGCGCCAAATTCGAATTTTACATAAGTTTTTTTTTTGAAATTTTCGTTTTAGGCCTGTTTGGGCTTTGCTAGTTTAAAAATCTGAAAATTTCTCTAAATTTCCAACATCTTAATCTAAAAATTGTCGAAAATTTTCATAAATTTTTACTTCTCAAATAGGCTCATCCATCATTTGCAGCTCAAAACTGTCAAATTTCAAAAAAAAACATTTTGAAATTTTTTCTAAAAGTTCAAAAATTCCAGAAAATCAGTATACCGTCGAAACTCGCCGAGTCTGCGTCGACTCACACGAAATTACGATTGGGAAGTGGACGAGCATGGTGCACTACGACCGATTATTAATCCAGCGAAGGTACAGTAATCCCCGGAAGAAAATTCCAGAATTTTCTCGATTTTTTTCAGGTGGAAAGAGCCACAAAAAACTGCGCCAACGATTCATTCATATTGGGAACGATAATGAGCAATTATAATAGGCACAAGATTCCCGGCGGGCAGGTGAGTCCATATTATTTCAAAAAAAAAATTTTGTTCTGTCGAATGTTTCCCCCAAAAACTACAAATTTCAAGCCTAATCTCTGAATTTACTTCAAAACGGTTATCGTATTCGAAATCAGCGTGAAAAATGGGTCTAGAAGCACTTTTCTAGAAGTTTCTAGCTCGATTTTGAAATTTTCCAGGTTACTGTAGCGCCAAAGGTACGCAAACACACCAAACCCAAGATCTTACGACACTTTGAGCTAGACAGTTGAAAATTTGAACTTGGACTAATTCTGGGGTGTAAGATTCGAATCTGGAAATGGATTTTTTCTAGAAAAATTCGGTTTTTCGTAATTTTCAAAATTTTGAACAAAAATTTTCCTCCGAAAGTTCCGAATTTCCAGCTAAACTTTGGATTTTGACAAAAATATTATCAAATTCAGAATCAGCGTGAAAAATGGGTCTAAAAGCACTTTTCTAGACGTTTCTAGCTCAATTCGGAATTTTTGCGGGTTACTGTAGCGCCAAAAGTACGCAAGCACACCAAACCCAAGATCTTACGACACTTTGAGCTAGATGGCTGGAAATTTGAACTTGGACTAATTCTGGGGTGTAGAACTCAAATCTGGAAATTGATTTTTCTAGAAAAATTTGGTTTTTCAGAAAATTCAAAATTTTGAAAAGTTTCAAAAAAAATTAAAAAAAAAAATTTTTCCAGGTTGAAGTTTCTGTTGAAGTATGGGTACAAGAGATCACAACCATTTCAGATATCACATCGGATTTTCAGGTAATAATCTTAATTATCGATTTATTGATTTTTCAAACGTCTTTCAGCTCGACATCTACATTTATGAAACATGGCATGATCCAGCACTGAATTATGCATTTCTGAATCCATGTAAATATAATCTATCATTGAATTCGGTCCTTTTGGAGAAGCTATGGACACCAAATTCGTGTTTTATCAACTCAAAAACTGCCGATATTCACAAATCGCCGTTTCCCAATATATTTTTGATGATTTATGCGAATGGAACTGGTGAGTCTTTGTGAGCGGAGCTTTTTAAAACTAAAAAATGAGATTTGTCTAACTGAGACCTTCAAAATGAACTTAAACATGACCATTTTTGGTTCAATTTGAAATTTGTCGAAATTCCCAAATGTTCAGGGTACCGTAACTTGGTTCATTTTCAGACGAATTTTGAATTTTTTGTATTTTTGAATTTGGCATGTTTAGAGCTTCAAAATGAGTATAAACATGGCTATGTTTCTTGAAATTCGAATTTTCCAGTTTAAAGGCGCATAAAGGGTTCGAAATTTCAATTTTTTGGAAACTAGGTCATGATTATACTCGTTTTGAAGCTCTTGGCGTACTAAATTCGAAATAAAAAAAATCATCGAGTTTAGAGATGAAACAGTCAGGTTACTGTAGTTTTTGGTTTTCAAGTTAGATGTTCAGGGTACCGTAACCTGGCTAAACTTGGTCCAATTTCAAAAATTTTTGTATTTTTGAACTTGACATGTTTAGAGCTTTAAAATGAGTATAATCATGACTTTTCTACCTTAAATTTGAAATCTGGGGTTTAAAGGCGCATAGGAGACTCCATAAATGGATGAAAACCAAACTTTGAGGGATATAGTCATGAGTATACTTATTTTGAAGCTCTTGACGTACAAAAGTCAAAAATAGCAAAAATTTCGAGTTCAGTGCAAAATTTAGAAAGATACGGTGGTTTGAAAACCAGGGAGTAATTTCCTGGTCAGATGTTCAGGGTACTGTAACTTGACAAGTTTTCGTACGAACTCAAAATTTTTTGCATTTTTATATTTGGCATGTTTTGAGCTTCTAAATGAGTATAAACATGGCTATATTTCTTCAAGCCTGAATTTTCGACTTTAAAGGCGCATAAAAGGTTCGAAATTTCCAATTTTTGGAAACTAGGTCATGATTATACTCATTTCAAAGCTTTTGACGTGTTGAATTCAAAAATGTAAAGTTTTTTGAATTTTGAGCAAAATGAGCCAAGTTACTGTAGTTTCTTTTTTAAGGTTGAAGGTTTAGAGACGCAGAGAAAGAAAAAAGAGAAAAAAGTCAGAATATTATAGTTTTTTTCTGGTTGAAAAACAAGAAGATGGAATACATTTATCTCGTCATTTTTTTCTAAGAAAAACAATAACAAAAAAGTCTAGGTCCAGTGGGAACTGGAAAACTCTCTTCAAAAAGAAACTACAGTAACGTGAAATATTTTTCTCTAAACCTGAAATTTTCAGTATTTTTGAGTTTCATATGTCAAGAGCTTTGAAATGAGTATAATCATGACCTAGTTTCCAGAATTTCGATTTTTGGAGGGACCATGCGCCTTTAAATCCCGAATTTCGAAGGAACAAGGTCATGATTATACTCATTTTGAAGCTCTACACGTGCTTAATTTAAAAATATACCATTGTTTGAGTTTGGATAAAAATTAGTCAAGTTACGGTACTTTGAACTTCTAACTTCAAAGTTCTGTGAATTTCAAAATTACTGTAATATGGCTAATTTCGCTTCAATCTCAAAACTTTTTTTACTTTTGTATTTAGCACGCCAAGAGCTTTAAAACGAGTATAATCATGACCTAGTTTCCAAAAAATTTGAAATTTCGAACCCTTTATGCGCCTTTAAATTCGAAAATTCAAGTTTTTGCTGACCTAGTCATGTTTATACTCATTTTGAAGCTCAAAACGTGCTTAATTCAAAAATACAAAAATCTTTGGAATTGGACCGAATTTAGCCAGATTACGGTACCCTGAACATCTAACTTGAAAATCAAAAACTACAGTAACCTGACTGATTTATCTCTAAACTCGACGATTTTTTATATTTTGAATTCAGTACGCCAAGAGCTTCAAAACGAGTATAATCATGACCTAGTTTCCAAAAAATTGAAATTTCGAACCCTTTATGCGCCTTTAAACTCGAATTTCAAAGTTTTTCAAATATAGTCATGTTTATACTCATTTTGAAGCTCTAAACGTGCTTAATTCAAAAATGCAAAGCATTTTGAGTTTGAACCGAAGTTGGTCAAGTTACGGTACCCTGAACATCTAACTCGAAGACTATCGATAACAAAAACTGTTTGTATATATGCAAAAAATTCCTTTTTTTTTCGCATTTTTTCGACAAAAAACCATTATTTTAATCTCCTTTTCTTTCATTTTTCAAACATTTTTTTTCTGCATTTTTTTTGTTCCTCACCGCCCGACGGGACACATTTTCTGATTCTAATCTTTCCCATTTGAGCTATTGATCCCCCTTTCAAAGGGGAAGAAAGGAAGAAAAGTGCAAAAAAGCTTTAAATTTTTGCACACACGAAGAAACTCACTCTGTTTTCTTGAGGGGGTCTCTGTCTTCTTTATCTCCTTCTTATTTTTCGAAAATCCCCCATGGGGAAATTTTCTGGAGGACCAACGGACCAAAAAAAAGGAGAAGAAACAGGGAAGAAGGGGAAAATTGTGTTGTACAAACTAGAGCGAAAATATGATGAAAGTTAAAAATAGCAAAAAAAAAGAGGGAAAAATTGATTTTTCTTGTAGTTTGTCATTTTCAAAAATTTTCTGAAATTTCAGCAACACAATTTTTGTAACTTCAACAGTATTACATATTATTTGGAAGCTCATAAAATTTGCTACAATTTGATATGATTTTCATAGGAATTGGTTGATTTTGAAAGAAGTTATGTGCCTTTACAAAACATTTTCTTTCTTTTTTGAGCATTGTCTGGAATTTTATAAAATTTCAACACCTGAATTTTGGCATATCATAGAGCATTGTATATTATTTAAAGCCCTTAAAATTTCCTACAGTTTGGTACAAATGCTATAAAAATTTGGTTAATTTTAAAAGAAATTATGCGCTTTTCAAAGTTTGCCTCCATCCAATATTGTGCATCGACTAAATAGTTTTTTAAGGCTCATTTTTTCGAAATTCTGTCGTTTATCATGAAATTTTTAGCAAATTATAGACAATTTTAAGGGCTTCAAAATAATCTGTAACAGTAATAAATAATTCAAACAAAAATTTATGAAAATCGGTTAAAAAGGAAAAATGTTATGGATATGTTCAAAATGGAAAACTTGGAAAATTTCTAAATTTTAAAAAATTGACGAACTGTCAGTTACTTATTCTGAAAGCACATGAAGTTTCCTACATTTTTATGTTAATTTCATACGATATTCGTTGATCCTGAAAAAAGTTATGCGCCTTTAAAATAATTGTTTTCATTTTTGAGAGCATTTTCAAAAATTTTCTGAAATTTCAGCAACACAATTTTTGTAACTTCAACAGTATTACATATTATTTGGAAGCTCATAAAATTTGCTACAATTTGATATAATTTTCATAAGAATTGGTTGATTTTGAAAGAAGTTATGTGCCTTTACAAAACATTTTCTTTCATTTTTGAGCATTGTCTGGAATTTTATGAAAATTTCAGCAACAAAAGTTTTGTAACTTTGGTAGTATTATAAATCGTTTAAAAGTCAATAGAATTCCCTACAATTTGATATAATTATTGAAATAGTTTGCTGATTTTGAAAAAAGTTATGCGCCTTTAAAATAATTGTTTTCATTTTTGAGAGCATTTTCTAAATTTTTCTGAAATTTCAGCAACAAAATTCTTGTAACCTTAATAGTGTTATAGATAATTTTGAAGCCCATAAAATTTTCTACAATTTGATATAATTTTCATTAAATTTGATCCATTTTGAAAATAGTTATGCGCCTTTAAAGTTCAAACATTGGTCGATGGGGTTGTATTTTAAAGGCGCATAACTCGCTTCAAAATGGAGCAAGTTTTTTGACAAATATATGAAATTTTAGAAAATTTTAAAAGATTTCAGATTAAATATAATTTAGAGTCTGAAAATTTTCGAAACTTCTATTTTTTGGAAATTTCGAAAAATTGTCATTTTTCCATTTTCAACACATTCTAACTTTTCATTTTTAACTGATTTTTATGGTTTTTAGCTTAAATTGTTTGAAATTTTCCAATTTTTCGAAATTTCAAATTTTCGTCTTGTTCTGAAATTTTATCTATTCAAAATTTCCAATTTTCCGGGTCACGATGCACCCCACAGACTACAAAAGGCAATTTCCTCCCTTTTCTTTTCCGGAGGGGACACAAAATCTAATTTTCAAATTTCCCGCCACCACGCGGGCGCTGCCAAATTTGTCACACACAAAATTTTCTATCATCGAATTTGCATGAAATTTGTTTTTTCTTTGGAATTTGGCGGGAAAAAAACAAATAGGAACTAAAGAAAGACCACCGGCCGGTCGGTCCGGACCTTAAATTCAATTTTCTCGAAATTTCGATTTGGTCATGAGGAAAAGCGAAAAAAATGATGTGATGTGGGTCCACCAAAAAAACTTTTTTTTTCGGAAAAATTTTTTTTGGGACCACAATATTTTTTCGAAAGTTTTTCTCTTTTCAAAAATTCTGGAAAACCAAATTTTTCTTCAAAAATCCATCATCAGATTCGTGTTTTACACCCTAAAATTAGTCTACTTTCAAATTTCCAGCCATCTAACTCAAAGTGTCGTAAAATCTTGGGTTTGGTGTGCTTGCGTACTTTTGGCGCTACAGTAACCCGCAAAAATTCCGAATTGAGCTAGAAACTTCTAGAAAAGTGCTTCTGGACCCATTTTTCACGCTGATTCTGAATATGACAATATTTTTGTCAAAATCCAGAGTTTAGCTAGAAATTCGGAAGTTTCGGAGGAAAATTTTTGTTCAAAATTTTGAAAATTACGAAAAGCCGAATTTTTCTAGAAAAATCCATTTCCAGATTCGAATTTTACACCCCAGAATTAGTCTAAATTATAATTTTCAGCCGTCTAGCTCAAAGTGTCGTAAGATCTTGGGTTTGGTGTGTTTGCGTACCTTTGGCGCTACAGTAACCTGGAAATTCTCAAAATTGAGCTAGAAGCATCTAGAGAAGTGCTTCTAGAGTCGTTTTTTACGCTGTTTCTGAATCGGGCGACCGTTTTGAGTTAAAATTTAAAATTCAGCTTGAATTTCTCAGTTTTCCGCTCAAATGAGCAATTAAACCCCATCCATTTTCTTCATTTGTTTTTGTTTCTAAAACAGAAAAAAAAAGAGTTTTCTAGAAAAAAAAGGAAAAGAAAGAAGAATCTATTCGTTTAATCTACAAATAATTCATTCGTTTATCGTGACTCTTTTTCTCTTCAAATCTCAAAAAGGAGAGAAATAGTATAGAAACTTGAGAGACGCAGAGATCTTCTTCTCTTTTTTCTCTAATCGCGAAAAATGTGAATCCGTTAGCTAAATAGGACTTTTTGAGGGGTCAACAAGGGAAGTACAGTAATCCAAAAAGATTGTTTTCAGTATGGACAAATTATCGGCTGAAACTACAAGGACCTTGTATCATGGATCTCACAAAGTTCCCGTTCGACAATGTGACATGTTCGCTAACATTTGAAAGTTTCAAGTGAGTTTTTGATTCATAACTCTCTCATTTTTTGTTCTATCAGGTTGATTTTAAAAATTACAAATTTGTCAGGTAAAGGGCTTTAAAATAAGTACCCGCAAACCTATGTTCCTTTAAATTTGAAATTTTGGGTTTAAAGGCGCGTAGGAGGTGTCAAAAAATGAATTTCCTGAAAGTAGGTCATGGTTATGCTCATTTTGAAGCGCTTTTCAAAACAAGAGAGACCCAAAAGTTTCAAACGACCGTAACTTTGTCAGTTTTATTGCAGTCTCCGAAAATTTGTTATTATTGCATTTTGCAAGTCATGAGCTTCAAAATGAGTATAAACATGACTATGATCCTTCAAATTTGAATTTTCGACTTTAAAGGCGCATAGGGGGTCTGAAATTTCGAAATTTTCAAAAGTAGGTCATGTTTATACTCATTTTAAAGCTCTGAACAAGACAAATACAAAAATCAAATTTTCATAAAAGTTTGAACAAACCTGACAAAGTTACGGTAGTTTCAAGTTTGATCTTCAATTTCTCTGAAGGCGTCCACCGTACCCTATTTTCAGCTACAACACAGATGAAGTGAAAATGGACTGGTCCGAAAACGGTGTACAAAAAATGCGAGATAAAATGGAACTAGCTGACTACGAACTAGTGGATATTCACAAAATACGAAATACAGAAGTAAGTGCGCTCCATCGATAATTTTTAAATTTGTCTCAAATTTTCAGGAATATCCCGCTGGCTATTGGCACGAGTTAACAATGTCCTTTGAGTTTAAACGGCGAGCCGGATGGTACATTTTGCAGGCTTATTTACCCACTTATCTCACTATTTGTATATGTAAGTTGTCCTAAAAACGAAGCTAATTTGGCGGGGGGGGGGGGGTAGGAAATGGCCCAATCAGTGCTGGAAGGGTCCTTGTGTATTAGAAACGAAGTAAAAAGAAAGCAAAAAATATTTAAAACAATTCAACCCTAGCGGGGATCGAACTCGCGAGGGTTAGATTGAAAGTCAAAAGTGTTAGCCATTACGCCAAACGCGCTCACTCGCTTAGAGGGCGTGGAGGGTGGTAAAAAACCAATGGCGTCGCCGTGGCGGTGGCGCCGCCACCGTCACCACTACGCACTCCGCTCCTTGTGCCGTAGTGATGGCATTAGCCTACTGGTGAACAGTTTTGCCCACCAATCTCCCCACCCGGGTTCAATCTGGGTTCAATTCCTCGGAGGTGGAAATCCTTTTTGCTTTTTGTGCAGAGCACCCTAGTGACTTTAGAAATCCTTAGAAACCGAAATTTGCCAATTTTTAGCATGGATCTCATTCGCACTTGGCTCAAAAGCCATTCCAGCTCGAACAATGCTCGGAGTGAACAGTCTACTGGCAATGACATTCCAATTCGGTAATATTATCAGGAATTTGCCGAGGGTTTCCTATGTCAAGGTGAGTTATAGTGACTCCCTCTAAAAAAACTTGGATTACTGTAGGCTATTGATGTGTGGATGCTGTCCTGTATGACATTTGTGTTCTGTTCACTCCTCGAACTCGCCTGGGTTGGTTATTTATCCCGGGAAGAAGAGCCAACTGCTTCCAAAGGTCTTCCGTGCTCACAAGTTGCTCCAAAACCTGCACATCCACCGCCTGTTCAACAATCGGCCAATTCTACAGTAATCCGGCGGCAGAAACAGCCCAAAAACGAGGAGGAGAGCGCATTGCTCAGCCTTCGAGACAACGATTACGGTTATATTCCACCTGGATTTGGTTTGAATGGAAATTTGGCGAGCGCTATGAAAAGTTTCAGTTCGTCGTGAGTTTTTTTTTCGATTTTAGAACTTTAAAGGCGCATATGGGTCCAGATTTTGGAAATCAAAGAAAGGAGGTCATGATTATACTCATTTTAAAGCGCTTTTTAATAAAAATCGATTAAGACAAATTTCACCAATTTTAGAGCTCAATGAAAGGAGTTACGGTAGTTTTTGACTTTCGTGGCGGGACCCAAAAATGATTAAATTTCAAAACTAGGTCATGAATAGACTTATTCCAAAGCTTTTAATTTGAAAACTCCAAAAATGTTGATAAATTTGTAATTGGATGAAATCGAAGAGAGTTATGGTGTTTTGAAGGCAATTCTCAGCAAACAGCAAAAATTCAAACTACCGTATCTCTCTCAATTTTTCATCGAACTGAAAATTTTTGACATTTATGTGTTTGCCAAATCAAGAGCTTCAAAATGAATATAATCATGACCTACTTTCCTTGATCTTTAAAATATAGACCCCCTATGCGCCTTTAAAATCGAAAATGTCCAAGTGGGCGGAGCCTAGTCGTGCTTATACTCATTTTAAAGCTCATAACCTCGAACACTCGAAAATCTACAAATTTCCAATTTTCAGCAAAAAGGAAAGGAGTTGTGAGAATTTTAAAGAATTTTTCGAAAGTTGCATATTTTGAAGAATTTGAAAAATTTTCAGATGCTCCTGTGAGCCAACAAATGTGGTCAACATGATGCTAGACGAGGCAGAAACGATTCCAGCATCTACATCGTCTTCTTTATCTCGGTATGTGCTGTTTGGCGGGAAATTCAAAATTTTGAAAAAAAAAAACATTTTTTTTTGAAATTTTGTTTGAAACCTAAAATTTCAAAGTTGCCTATTTCTCTTCATTTTTGGTCAAAATTGATGATCTTTTTACCAAAATGTTGAAAATTTTCCATAGTTTTTGATGAATACAAATTTCAATAACGTCCCTCTTTTCAAAGTGTGCAAATTCGCTCTAAGGAACACTACCTTAAAATGCCTCAAATCCGCTCATTTTTGAGGCTAGAAACTTCGAGAAAAAGCTAAAAACCTGTAATTTTTTTCAAATTTTTTCAGAAAACAACGTCGTGAAATTCTTGCTCACAAAATCGACTCGGTATCTGTATTCATGTTCCCATTTCTTTTCGTTCTTTTCAATATTGCCTATTGGCAACATTATTTACGGGTCAACTGAGTTTTAAAGGCTTTTTTACCTCCAAAAAAGCGGGTTTTTAGATGATTTATTGATTTTTTGAAGTCTATTTTTTCGGACCAACTTTCCATTTGTAATTGCTCAGTTTTTCTCAATTTTAATATATTTTTTCTAGTCATCGAATAAATTTTTTTAATTTCAAAATTTTCAAAAAACCTACTTGAATAGCTCTTTGCACATCGTTCATTGGCAATGTGCCAAGTGGAATCAAACGGTCCGGATGTTTTTGGCACTCTGCCAACAAATCGTCATTCACGAAACGAGCCACGATCTCAGTGTCTTCGGGTTTGGCCTGGAAATTGATTTTCAGACATTCAAATGTGTGAAATCGTTATCAGCATGAAAAGAGCTTCAAAATGAGTATAAACACTACTATGTTCCTTTAAACTTGAAATTTGTACTTTAAAGGCGCATAGGGGGTCCGAAAATTCACCCAAAATTCAAAATTTTTGATAGCAGGTATTGATTATACTCATTTTGATGCGCTTTTCAAAACAAATTGAATGATATAACTTTCACTAGTTTTTAAGCACAATGAAAGGACTTACGGTAGTTTCGTGGTGGGACCCAAAAATGATAAATGCCAAGGTCATGATTATAGTCATTTTGAAGCACTCTGCGCGACAAGTACAAAAACGTTAAAATTGGCAAGTTTGAAGCAACACTGAGAGAGATAAGGTAGCTTAAACTTTACGCTTGCTCATTCTTCACTTCAAAGTACCATAACTTCCTTCTCTTTTGTCCAATTTCAAGTTTTCAAAAAGTTTTTATATTTTCAGGTTCTGAGTTTTGAAATGAGTGTAATCATGACATGTTTCTGGGAATTTTGGATTACCAGGACCCCTTTTAGAAACCACTATGCGTCGGCAAACTCAACTTTCAAACTTGAAGGAACATGGTCATGTTTATACTCATTTTAAAGCTCTCAACGCGAGCAATTCAATTTTATTATTACGTTTAGATTTGCTGAATTTTGACGGAATAAATTGGTAAAAAACCCTAATTTCTAGAACGAACTATTCCCCCAAACTTGTATCTTCTCCCGATTCTCCCCTCCTCTCCTTCTCCACCACCCCTCTCCCCCTCATTCATATACGCCTTCCCTCTCCCATTCCCAGCTGTTGCACTCTGGCGTAAGCGGCAAGCGCGCCGCCCACCGATCTTCCGGGTCGAGAGGGTTGCGGGTTCGACCCCAACGCCTGACAAATAAGTCTATGATGTTTTTTCAAGACGGGACCGACTTGTGAATGATGCATAACAGAATTGCTGAGACTTTTTTTTTCATTTTCTTTTGAATTGACCTACCCAATAAGAAAACATGACGGGTACTGTACTCAAGCATTGCACATTCACATTCGCTTTATCCATATCTGCAATTCGGGTCTCCGTATCAAAACAGTTTGGCTCAACGACTCTGAAGTTATCATTTTAATGTTTTCAATTTTTTTTCTGAAATTACCTAAAAAGCTTCCCATCCTTCATCATATGAGTAGTCCCATCTTCCTTATGATCCAAACGGACGAATCCTGGATAGCCGAACTTCTGAAAATGTGTTTATTTTAAAATTTTGAAACATTCCAGGTTACTGTACCTCTTGAAAGTCTGGAATATGCTTGGGAAGCACATGAGCGTGCACGTCGATTTTGCGCATTTTTGAAGCTAAAACATCAAAATTTTAGGTCTACAGTAATCCAAAATGAAACTTACTTGAAGAAAATTCACAAATCGGCATGGTTGGTGTCGTAATGCGGCAGATGTGTATAGATAGTTTCTTCTATCAATATCTCATTTTTCTCTAAATCTCTTTTTCTCTAGATTCGATCATTCATTCGCATTTCGTCGACATTCGGGGAAGTGATAAGATAGCGATCAGCGGATCTGAATGACCGTATCTCGGCTAGTTTTGCTTCAAAACAGAAAAAAAAATGTATACCATTGTACTTGGCTAAATAAGAGCTTCAAAATGAGTATAAACACGACTATGTTCCTTTAAATTTGAAGTTTCATATTTAAAGGCGCATAGGGGGTCCGAAATTTTTAAAAGTTCTAAAAAGTAGGTCATGATTATACTCATTTTAAAGCTTGTGTCTTGTAGAGTTCAAAACTTTTACTTTCACACATAAATTTTCACCTTCAACCAAGTTATACGTACAGTAACAATAACGACTTTTGAGTGTCAAATATTGGTTTGTACATAACTTTGCGGATTTTTATCATGTCTAAACAAAACTAATAAATTCAAATTTAACACGTCAAGAGCTTTAAAACAAATATAATCATGACCTACTTTTGAGAATTTCGAAATTTCAGACCCCCTATGCGCCTTTAAAGTCTCTATTTTCAAATTTAAAGGAACATAGGCGTGTTTATACTCATTTTGAAGCTCTCAATCTAAAAATTTCAAAAATTCAAGTTTCATTCAATGTCAGTGTGAATTATATGAGTGATAAGCAAATCAAAACTTGGAACATCAAAAAATCCGTTTCCCCCACCCCAGTTCCTGATTTTTTCCGTGGAAATCAATTTCAAACTAAAATCGCTCAAAAATTCACTGATAAAACTCAATGAATTCTGTAGTTCCTCGTCTAATTGACATTTTTTAGTGTCTGAAACTCCTCCAAAATGATAAAATTAACCAAAGACCAGAAATGTGGTGATAAGGGGAGGTTAAAAAGTGATAAGACCATTTCATATTCATTCTAAATTGAAAAATGAAGCGAATGCTTTCAATTTTTCTCCTCTGTGGAGTTTTGGCGGTAAATGGAGCACCATCAAGCAATGCTAAAGGTTAGTGATTGAGATTTTTCAGTAAACTAAGCTTATCTTTTTTAGCTCTCATTCAAATTGAATTCCGACAATTTCATTGAACTTAGCAATCAAAGAGCTTCAAAATGAGTAAAAACATGACCATGCTCCTTTAAATTTCAAATTTCGACTTTAAAGGCGCATGTGTCTCGAAAAATGTCAAAAAATTGTCGAAAGTTCAAAACTCCTATTATAAGTAGGTCATGATTATACTCATTTTGAAGCTCTTAACGCGGGAAGTTCAAATTTTTTAATTGTGTTATGAAGAAAAAAAAGTTGAAACTATTAATTTCGAAATGTTAGTTTTGCTCATATCTTGGCTATAGTTGAAAATTTTGGCATGATTGTTACAAATTTGAATTGAACGTAACAAAAGCTTCAGAGTGAGTATAAACATGACCATGTTCCTTTGAATTTGAAATTTTGACTTTAAAGGCGCATAGAGGGCCCAGATTTTGAAAATCAACGAAAGTAGGTCATGATTATACTTTTTTTAAAGCTCTCGACATGCAAATTTTTAATTTTTAATGTTTGTTGAAAAAAAAAAGGAAATTTGCCAAGTTATGAATAAAAGAACATTTGACACAAAACAATTCAACATATTAGTTTTGATCATATCTTGGCTACAGTTTTTTGATCATATCTTGGCTACAGTATGAATATTACGAATTTGGATGTAGCCTTAAAAAAAGCTTCGAAATAAGTACAAACATGACCTACTTTTCTTGGTTTTCAAAACTTGAACCCCCCTATGCGCCTTTAAAGGGTCAAATTTCAAATTTAAAGGAACACAGTCATGTTTGAAGCTCTTGTTTTGAAGCTCTTGTTACGCTAAACTAGAATTTTCACTTTTCAACAACAATTAACAATAGCCCAAAAAAACACGCTCCCTTTTTTCAGCCACCTTCTCCGACGCCTTCGTTCGTAAATACTTTCCAACAATATTCGCCTCAACTGAAGCACCAAATGCAACAAATTGTTTGAATAAAGTATTCACAAATTACGAATTAAAACAACATATCCATGTGAAATGTGATGAGACTGATGGATTGGACACTTGTTCTGGCATCACTTTTGTCTCTCATGATGATAAAGCTATTGTAATGGCTTTTAGGTAAGAAATTGGGGTCTTAAGGAAAATTGGTACTAAGTTGAATTGTATATATTTTTGTAGCTCTTAAAAAACTTCACATTTTGTAAAAGAAATCGCTAAAAAACGTTGATTTTTAAGAAAGTTACACGTTAGAACAGGATTGAATCCAAAAGCCAAAACTGCTCAAACTACCATAACTTACCGAATTTCGCGTTTCACCTCATAAAATGTATTTCACCTAACTCATCTTGTTGAGAGCTTAAAAATGAGTATACTCATGACCTACTTTCCTCAAATTTATTTTTTCCGATCCCCTATGCGCCTTTAAACTCCAAATTTCGAACTTAATGGAACATAGTCATGTTTATACTCGTTTTGAAGGTCTCAAAACGTTTATTTCAAAAGTTAAAGCTTCATTCAAGAGTAGTGAGAATCAAGAAAGTTGTGACCAAATTTTCGTTGTTCCAGAGGTACTTATGGAAAGCTGCAATTGCTCGTGGAATCCGAGGAGATTATGTATAGAAATAAAGTAAAATTGAAATCCAAAAACTAAAAAAAAAACTCTAACAATTTTCAGACTGCTTGGTACGGAGGCGGAAGTGTTGGATTCTATTTCGCCCATGCGTTCAATTTGATCTGGAATGCTGGCATGAAGAATGATGTTAATACTTTGATCCATAAGTATCCAGGATATGAGATTTGGGTAAGAATTCTTTGGTGTTTGAAATTAGCGCGTTGAGAGCTTCAAAATAAGTATAAACATGCCTATGTTACTTCAAATTTGAAAATTGAGACTTTAAAGGCGCATAGGGGGTCTGAAAGTTCGAAATTTTCCAAAGTAGGTCATGTTTATACTCATTTTGAAGCTCTAAACACAACAAGTAAAATAGTGTATGTTTCAAAAAAATTGAAGCAAAATTGACAAAGTTATGACAGTTTGAAGGTTGATCCTAATTTCTTTGAAAGCATAAAGGCGGATATCTCAATAGCTGTTCAGTCAATTTGCTTGAACTTGCTATTTTTGTATTTGCGTAACTGAGAGCTTTGAAATGAGCATAAACACGGTTGTGTTCCCTTAAATTTGAAATTTCAACTTTAAAGGCGCATAGGGGGTCCGAAATCTCGCAATTTGGGGGTTTAGGTCATGTTTATACTTATTTTGAAGCTCTTAACGTGGGAAATTCATAAATATAAATTTCAAGTAAATTGGGAAAAAGTTAGGGGAGATTTGAAGAGAAAAAGGTGTCATGTGACCGCGTAGCTCAGCGGCACAGACAGAAAACTTTGACAAACTTTTGTTCCAGGTTGGTGGTCACTCCCTCGGCGGCTCCCTAGCTGCTCTCGCTTCCAACTTTCTTATCTCCAATGGTCTCGCAACGTCATCAAACCTCAAAATGATAACATTCGGAGAGCCACGTACAGGAGATAAGACATTCGCTGATACTGTAGACTCCTTGGTACCGTACTCCTTCCGAGTGATCCATAAAAAAGATATCGTTCCACATATTCCTTTAAACGGTATGGAAGGATTTCACCACCATAAAGCAGAGATATGGTATGATAATGATATGTCAAGAGCCACCTACAAAGAATGTGATTCACAAGAGAGCCCATTCTGTTCGGATAGTCATTTGGATTATATGATTGCTGATCATCATCATTACTATGGAATGTATATGTCTTATTATGGAAGAAGAAACTGCACTGGGGATCCGGCTAATTGAATTATTTGAATAAATATTTGAGAATCCAGATTTTTTGTGTATATATACCAGCCTGTTTGTCCCGCCTCTGCCGTTTCAAAAAACTGACTGGTGCGCCTTCGGCGCGATCCACCTTATTTCTTGTTTTTATATTTGAATTTCCCACGTTTAAAACTTCAAAATGAGTATAAACATGTCTATGTTCCTTCAAGTTTGAAATTTCAGTTTAAAGGCGCATAGGGGGTCCGAAATTTGGAAATCAAGGAAAGTAGGTCATGTTCATACTTTTTTGAAAGCTCTTAACATTTAAAGTGCAATACTCTTAAAATTTCGGAATTTAGACAAAAATTGAGATTCAAAATGAGTATAAACATGACTATGATCCTTCAAATTTGAATTTTCGACTTTAAAGGCGCATAGGGGGTCTGAAATTTCGAAATGTTCAAAAGTAGGTCATGATTATACTCATTTTGAAGCTGTTAACATTTTGAACAAGACTATTTGTTGATTTTTCCGTTTATCTCAAAATTGAAGAGAATACGGTAGTTTTTGCTGGCTTTTTTGCGTCTATCTTGCTCAATTTTTGTCTAAATTCCGAAATTTTAAGAGTATTGCACTTTAAATGTTAAGAGCTTTCAAAAAAGTATGAACATGACCTACTTTCCTAGATTTCCAAATTTCGGACCCCCTATGCGCCTTTAAAGTCGTAATTTCAAAATTAAAGGAATATAGTCATGTTTATACTCATTTCAAACCTCTGATTGTGTGAAATTCAAAAATATAGTTCTTAGAAGGTTATTTACAACATTTTCAGCAAAAATTAGACTGAAAATCATATTTTAATGTAGATGGCATATGGAACAGATCCTTTTATTGGTTTTACAGTAATCCTCCAGTCTGCCTATTTTGGGCATTTTTTCTCATGAAATAGATCCTTTTGCTACTCTTACAGTAACCCTAAATCTACCATTTTTGAACAGTTAGTTTCTTTTTTGATTGTTACGTTTAAAGGCGCATAACTTGGCTTAGAATTTGACTATTCAAAATTTTGAATATGAATCTTGTAGCTCTTAAATTATCCTACAAAACCTGTTTAATTTAGCTTAAATTTTCCAATGTTGAGCAAAGTTATGCGCTTTTAAACTTTTGATCGGATCCTAGTCCTTGAAGCGTAAATAGGAGCTCACTTATCTCTTTAAAGGCGCATAACTTGGCTTAAAATTTGTAAATTGAAATTTATTTATAACCAATTTGTAGCTCTGAAAATTTCTAACAAAACATTGTTTATCTTGTTCAGATATTCCAATTTCAAGCCGAGTTATGCGCCTTTTCCTAGGCCATATGCCGTATCCTAGGCCATCCTAGAATCTTCCGGATAGTTTTTTTCCCAATTATCCACTTGGTTTTCTTCTCCTTCTTCTGCCCAATTTCACTCATTTTCCCGCCAAAACCACCCGAGAATGGAAAAACTAGACAGGTTTTTTTTCTCGGGTTTTCACTAATTTCCTCTTCGGACAAAACGCATTTTCTAATATGTTAGCCGCTAACGGCAATACATATACGTAATATAGGGACACTTTTATTACTGTTTTTAGGCTGATTTTCATGCGAAAAACTCATCATTCCGCGTTTTCTTCAATTTTACTGAAACTCTCAACTTTACGTTAATTGAAATGTGCTAGTTAGACACTATTTTGATTATATCTTTTTTAATTTTCTGTATTTCTCAAAAAAAATTCAATTTTTGAAATCAGTAAATCAAAAGCTTAAAAATGAGTATAATGATGACCTACTTTCCCGGATTTATAAAATCTGGATCCCCTATGCGCCTTTAAAGTCGACATTTTCAAATTTAAAGGAACATAGGCATGTTTATACTCATTTTGAAGCATTTAATGAGATATATGCAAATTTTAAGTTTAAGTTACTATTTTCGGGCTTTCTGGAAAAGTTATAGTAGCTTCAAATACCTCAGTTTTACTATGTTTAAGCATCTTGATCGTAACTCTGCTAGTTTTCATATTTTTAACTTTAAACTCATATTTGTGAACTTGTAAAATTAAGAGCTTCAAAATGAGTTTAAACACTTGACTTTAAAGACGCATAGGAGGTCCCAAAATTTAAATTTAGGAAAGTAAGTCATGCTTATACTCATTTTAAAGCTCTTGACATGAAAAAGGCAACAATTGCAAACACTGAAATTTAAAATACAATGCTACTAGAATTTCTGAATTCAGAGTCTAAATTTTGGACCAAAAAAAGGTATAGAAAAGAAGGCAAAAAAATTCGAAAATCGTTAGACACCGTATTTCCTTCAGTTTTGAAATAAACTCAAATTTCTTTGAATATTCTCATTTAAAATGTTAAGTGCTTCAAAATGAGTATAAACACGACTATGCTCCTTTAAATTTGAAATTTTGACTTTAAAGGCGCATATCCAAAAAATGGAACTCGAGTAAAGTAGGTCGTGATTATACTCATTTTAAAGCTCTTGACATGAAAAAGGCAATAATTGCAAACATTTAAAGGAGGCCAGACACGAAAGTCTACGGGGTTTTCTAGGGGCGAGATCATGTATTCCGACGGAAAATCGTGCGATTGCGTCCCAATGCGCACTACTTGACGAGCATTTATTTTTTTTAGTGTACACTAAAATTCGCCGCTTGAAAACAGAAAAAAAACGAAAAAAAAAGATAGGAATCGAACCCGCGATGCGCGACCGAAAGACAAGCGCGCTCTCCTCTACACCACACGGCGCTTGGCGACTACTGCCGCTAATACGATTATGAAACGAGGAGTGGGCGACACTTGAGCCGCCGCTTGGAAGAACGGTCGCGTTCCCGCTTGTACAGTAACAGGGTGTTCTTGTTTGGTGTTCATTGTTATTTTGTGACTGTACTGTGTCATATATCAAAAAACTAGAATTTTGAAAATTTTCATGTCTGGCCTCCTTTGAAGGTGGGGGGACATGAAAAAATAATGTTCTCGAAATTCCGTTCAAAGATGCCCCTCGATGAGTTGAACTTGTGAAGGCGATGATTGAGGGTGCGGCGCCGCTACCGACTGAGCCACGCGGGCAAAGAGAAAGCGGACGCCCGATTGCATACATAAAGGCGAGGACGACGGCTGTACGCAGAGTGACATTAAGCGTTGTACACCGTGACGGTAGAATGCATACTCTAGCTACAAAAAAACTACGAAAAATCTCCTGTCCCCACACCTTTAAACATTTGAACCAGAAATGAGCAAGATACATCCAAACAGCCCAAAACAAACTGCAAAAACTACTGTATTCCCTTCAATTTCGAGATTTACTCAAATTTCTTAAAATATTCTTACTTAAAAATTTAAGTGCTTTAAAATGAGTATAATCACGCTTATGTTCCTTTAACTTTGAAAATTCGAATTCAAAGGCGCATGAGGGGGTCCAAAAAATGGAACTCGAGTAAAGTAGGTCGTGTTTATACTCATTTTAAAGCGCTTGACCTGCCAAACTCAAATATGTTCAAAATTTTGAAAACTGACAAAAATGAACCGAAATACGGCAATTTTTAAGTTTTATCCAATTTCCTGAAATTTCAGAATTTTCTAAATTTTCAAAAAACGCCCTATTTTGCAACAAAAAAAAATAGACTAGATGATTTATGTTTGTGGAAATAGCCAAAAGAATCGGAATACTCGCTTCTCGCGGATCACAAATCTTCGTATTAAGTTTTTTTTTCCCAAGAATTCCTCATCTTCTGGATTCTTCTTTCTGTTTTCCCTTATCAATTCTTGTTACCTTCTCTTCTTATCAGAAGACCCATGATTATCCGTTGATAATATCATCTTTTCGGGAAAATAAGCGAAAGTTTTGTGATTGGGGCAAAAAAAAGTGATTCGGATTTACTACGCCGCTTATTCCCTTCCCGCGGGAAAACGGATGTGAAGGGGGCGGAGTTTGAGGGAAAGGGGAGGATTAGGGGTTCCAGATGGCAGATGGAACACAGTTCTTTTGTTATCTTTACTGTTACCGTAAAACCTCTAATAGAACGACACCCGGATCGTCCACATTGAGCCTATATATCTCATCTCCTCTTTCAAAAGAAGTGAGATATATAGGCTCAAAGTGGACGATCCGGGTGTCGTTCTATTAGAGGTTTTACGGTATCTGCCTCGTTTAGACAATCCTTTTTTTTAAATCTTTTTTTGAGTTTCGCAATCCTTAAAGGTGGGGGGACAGGAGATTTTTCGTAGTTTTTTTGTAGCTAGAGTATGCATTCTACCGTAACGGTGTACAACGCTTAATGTCACTCTGCGTACAGCTGTCGTCCTCGTCTTTATGTATGCAATCGGGCGTGCGCTTTCTCTTTGCCCGTGTAGTTCAGTCGGTAGCGGCGCCGCACCCTCAATCATCGCCCTCACAAGTTCAACTCCTCGAGGGGCATCTTTAAACGGAATTTCGAGAACATTATTTTTTTCATGTCCCCCCACCTTTAAGTCTGCCTTTTTGCCTTACCCTTTTTATGATTGGTAAGTTTAAAGGCGCATAACTTGACTTAATATTTGACTATCAAAAATTATAAGTCAGCAACTTGCAGCTCTTGAAATTTCCTACAACACCTTTTTTATTTTATTCAGATACCGTAAAACCTCTAATAGAACGACACCCGGGTCGTCCACTTTGAGCCTATATATCTCACTTCTTTTGAAAGATATCAAAAAGTGGTTAACTAGTAAAATGTTTATCAGGATATCAGCA